CCGCACCAATTTACCTCATGTTATAATCTAGTTATGCAAAATAGCGCTGTAGAAGAACGGCAGCAAAGTTTAGAGGAAGCAAGTTACATTTTGGAAGCATCTCAAGGCATTCTGAAAGCTCTTTAGAAGCGTGAAATTCCTCGGTTAATTATCTAAATAGTCACTAGACTTTTCGTGACTACCCACGGGATCATTGAACTTCAAAACTATCCCTATTAGTCACTGAACTTTGAAAATTGATATATAGTCTATCACTGCATAAAAGAAGCTTGCAAAATTGAAAGAATTCGATGGCGTGTCTAATGGTAGGGTTGACATGACACGTTATTGTAAAAACAATACATCGAAATCACAAAAATTGGATTTTATATGCAAGTCGTCTAGACCCTCTCATTTAATTTCATGGAGACGTAATCTTAAATTCCGAATCTCCTTACACAAATCGTTATTTGCAACTTCACGTCTCCTTACGTTTCAAGATAACATTTCAAGATAACATCTCTTTTTTTTTTTTTTTTATAATGATGTGCTACGTATCCTTACAATTTTGCCAGCATCGTTTATTCAATGATGGATGAGGTACCAATTTTCAAAGTTCGGTGACTAACGGAGATAGTTTTGAAGTTCAATGACCCTATGGGAACTTCACAAAAAGTTCAGTAGCTGTCTAGGGAATTAATCCTGAAATTCCTAATCTATCACCAATTTATATTGATGAATGCCATACATTACTCAAACATACTAACCAAATGCAACTGCCTCAAATTCTTACCTCTCCACCCAACTTTTGACCTCTACAAATGACACATTGATGAAGAAAGTCATGGAAGAATGTCCACAAAAGTATTCTTTTGCAAGTGATGCACTTCAGAGTTCAATTCAAGATTTGTGTGCAGAAATTGCTGCTGCTGATTATCCAAATACCTGTAAAAATGCATTTAAGAGGTATTCTGGATTGGTTTATCCACCTGAAATTGCTGTTAGAGAAGAGGGTGTGAAGCATATTTGTGATGTGGTTTTGTGTATTAGGGAAGA